TGTTTTTGACGTTTCGATCTGGTTGAGTTAGGAAAAACGAAAGACTCGGAACGATTTTGAGCGCTTGCTCCGCACACCGGACCGGACGTCCCCCCAATCAACCAAATAGCGGGGGGCTCTACATGATCACGTCAGAGACGCATGCGAGCCCTCTGCATATAGTCCTGGAAGCCTCAAGAAGCAGCTGGTGGGTGTGGAATAAGGGAATGCACCGACACCTACTAGTACAACTATATTGGATCTTCCAACGGTGCAAGACGTTTGCTTTGCGGCCGGTCTTACAAGACCGGCCAAGGTCAACGCAAATTCTAGGCTGCACAGTTGATAGGATCTAGGCTGTCTAGGTATACAGTTCAATCCCATTTGCTTGGGAGACGTTGGAAGGATCCCCCTCTTGATTTGCGGCTCCCCTTTTGCAGACCCTCCCTTTTCCAAAATGCCATGCGCATCCTCAAATCAAAGGCGTAGAATGTGGATCGCCTTCCATGGTTGGTCGAGCATCTGATAGCCTACCCCTGAGTGTGAGATTTGGAACGTTGTGTTGTGTCTGTGGTCACGCAGCGAAGCCGCCTCTTTCCCACCACACCAGCCAAGCCTCATCGTGGCCAAAGCCCAGAGCATGATCCAAATGTCCTGCATCGAGAGCTTCGCCCGCGAAGGGCGTGAGAGAAATCTGAGGATTTGCTTCAAAAAAACCAAACGAGCTATAATTGGACACCCCTTAGGGAAACCCAAACAAGCTAGGCAACCTGAGCGTAGCATTGTGGCCCGGGGCTCGTCGGCTACCCTTATTTTTTGGGGGGGAGGCTGTTGTTTTTAGCACGGCGGCCGAGTTTGCATTGGTTTTGACCAACCGCTCTGACACCCTCCACCTTGCAAGTCCGGTGGCTTTTTGGGACACCCCGTGACACCCCATTAAGAGGCTATTTAAAGACACTGGTGTCTGTCCGGTGCTGGCTGGGGTCCGCGGGGTCTCACCTGGACGGACTGAAAGAAGAGCCGTTTGTTCAACTCAACCTGGATCTTCCAACGACCTCAAAAATAATGGAAAAGGTATGAAAAGGTATTGTTTTGTATTGGTCGTTTTGTTTTGTTTTGCGTCATGTGAGCGGATTTGTGTGGTCGTTGGCGGTTCGTGTTGCGTGCGTGTTGCGGTTACCTTGCGGTCGTTTGGCCGTTTGGCGCTGATTTGTGTCCATGTGCGCGGATCACCGGGTCAATCACCAAAAACTATCAAACATTGTTGGGTCGTTGGAAGGTCCGGTTAAGGGTTTGCAGAATGTTGCAGAAAAAGAAAAGAACACACACACACACACCTACGACGCACGGAGCGGGGCCTTCTCCGTTTCGCTTCGGAAAGCAAGGTCAATGCGGCCGGATCCGTTAAGGAGGGACGGAAGAACCCGCGGAAGAAGAGGCAGGGGAAGAACCCCCGCAAAAAACCACGGTGTTTTTCCCCTAGGGCTCCAACTACCTCCTGAGAAAATGGTTATGGTGGGTTTGGGGGGTCTAACCACTTTCTGAGGATATGGTTGGAGCCCTAGGTTCATTGTGTGACATGTCCAAGGTAACCGAGCTGTTTCACTCCAGGTTTGTTTGGGAAACCATCGGCGTGTTCACGGGAAGTCGGTCGAGACGCGCCCGGTTCAGTTCCTGTCACAGGGTTGGTCGTAGAACACGTGGGAACTGTCACGTTCCAGAAGGGGTTCCGAGTCTCGCGCATCCAAGCCGGGGCCCCAATCGGGCCGCTCGCGCCCGCCCGATCGCACCAGCTCGCGGTTTTGGGGGGAAGATCGGCTTTGCTCCGTGGCCAATGCGCATGATGGCACTGGCTGGGGGAAAATATATACGGCCATGGGTCACAGGATGAAAAGGACAAGTGGAGATCCTTAGGAGATCCTTCGGAACACCACCACGCAAAGAAGTCTACCCAAAAGTTGAAGCCAAATCCAGAGACCCTGCCACAAGGAACACCTCGAGACGTTAAGCATGGCGTAATAAGCCGACGGGAGCCCCTAGTGGGGAGCTCCAGTCCCTTGTTCTGGATCTTGTTAGTTTGAGGGATACCAGCGTCCATCACCCCCCGCAGTTTTCAGGTCACAAGTGGACGACGTGGAGCCCCGAACGTGGCGTCCGATCGCTCCGTAGCTTTCGCAGCGATGCGTCCTTGCTGCTCCTAGTAGTAGCTTCTTAAGTTCTTGTTCCTAGTAGTAAGTCCAGGAGCCCCGTTCGTAGCGTCCGAACGCTCCCAACACTGACACATTCCATGGAAATGTCCCCGCCACTCATCGAACGGGTGACAGGGCCTCTACTCTACTCGTGACGGTGAACGATGATGCCTTCATGGTCTTAATTTGTCACTGGCTGGGGGGAGCGTGTCACTAGGGGGTCCAAAATAATCAACAAACATACTGGATCTCAAAGGCCTTGGATGCTAGCCTTCAAGTTGCGTTTGTTGAACAACTGGTTTCGAAAACAAATATCTTCGTTTTGTGCTTGTGAAGTCAAAACGAATGACGTCACTACCAGCCGCAAGATCCAGCAAACCCTCTCGTGCAGAAACAAATCTGAAAGCCATGGGCGGGTTGGTTCAAGCCTACTTCGTGGTAAAAGCGCATCACGCCCAAAGGAACACCTGACCAAAAAACATGCAAAAACGTCCTCGGGTTCATGCCATGCTCAACCTGTTTCCGAGGGTCCAGTTACTGTCCCTGGCTTCCCCGAGCGTCACTTGCTCGAGAAGCCAACCAGGACTGCCAAGCAGAGTTGACGTCGATACGTCGGGTCTCTTTGCACGAAGGGCCGGACAAAAGAAGAGTTCGTCTACTCAGGTCCTACTCAAGATCTGTCTTTGCTTTTGACCTGTAGAACGCGTTCTACAGCGAATACTCAATTGCATGCATGCTGCTAGAAACATATGCAACATGGTGCAACCAATGAAAACACGAAGGTCCTCCCTGAGCTGCTCAAGGTTCAGACTGGATAGATGTCTTGGGTTTCCAGGTCGTTCCTCGAAACGTGGCCGACACCCTCGGGCGACACAGAGAGCCCGCGTCACCGGCGGTGACGGGGGACCGCGGCGTGGTCCGTCGACGGCTCGGTCGGACCTCACCATGATCCCAGCCGTGACTCCAAGCCCGTTAAGCAGCCGGGCGGGTGCGCCAGCGGAATCCGTGGGTGATCAGACCTTACCAGACTTGATCTACCACCTGCGCCTTGGTACACCAAGCTTGGTGTGCTGGCTTCAGTGTTCTGCTGCCGGGCGCCCGGCATAGGGTTTCTTCCCACACCTCCAACATGGAGCTTGTTCTGCTTTCAGCCCGTCGAAGTAGCTCCAACAACTCCACCCATCACCTTCTTCATAAGGACGTATACATCGTGGCCACGCTCTTGATTACATGTCAGCACACAAATGAAGAGTTTGTTCATGTTTTTCCCCATCCATGTTGGAGGGATTTGCTTCCTCCAGTTCCGCGCGGTCTCCATTCGGTCGGCGTACCCCGACCGAAGCGCACGTCTCCTCTCCGCTTTCAGCGCACCCGAAAAGCCTTCCAACGGTTCGGGCGACAGAGTCGAACGCCTCTGCTGGCCTTCAAGGATCCCGGCGGGCACCGTGGAGGCACCTGTCTCTCCCCTTGCTGCACCCATGTGGCGAAGCAAGCGGGGTGTTGATCTAAGCCATGACTTTCCTCAACCCACGCCAGGAGGTCCAAGATCCAAGATCCGCTGCCCTGCTGTTCAAGTCCTGATTTCTCACCACTTTCTCCCCACAGCCTACCAGAGTCTAGAGAGTCAAGATCAAGGTCCTTCTGCAGAAACATGGACTCGGATGAAAACAAATCCCTCGAAGTGGGGCTGACTCAAAATTCGCTGACAGTGGAGGATGATTGATGGTTAGGCAGCGCTTGAAGCATGAGAATCCGTGTATCTTGTGTCTCTACCGCAGATGTGTTTCTTTGCATTAAATACCGCCGCTCATGGATTCTTAATGTCCTTAGATGCTACGGGCTTAAAGAGGTTAAGGGAGCGCCTTACAAGCCAAAGGGCCTAAGGCTAAGGGTCTAATGAGCGCAGGACTGTCAAGAATTATCTAAGAGCTGATTGAATCGTTGCAAGTGATGCATCGGGTTTGGGGCTTAGGGTTCTGCATACACCACATGGACTCTGCACACCCAAAAGGTGCGTCTGTGCCCAACACCTCCCCCACAGTGTGCCGCCAGCTGTATCGTGCAAGGACTGGCGAGTGCCAGAACTATGCGCAGTCTTACAGGGCTTGTTCTCCCACTGGGCAGGCGGACACCCTGACGACGGCGGCGACATCATGTTGTGCAGATTGAAATTGCATGTGCCCAGACGCGACCCTGGACCCTCATCTGGAGGGGTTTGGGGTCTCAAATCCCTAGGTTTTGAGGGACCAGTCGGGCTGTGAACGGAGCGTCTGGGTAGAAGGTTGCTGCTTTGAAACCCTTGCCATGACTTCGTGACTGGACGTCGTGCAAAAACCTGCCGCTGGTTCGGTCGGGATGCCACTGGCCGAGTGGGATCAACAGTCCAGGAAACGACGGGGCTCTGTTTAGCCTCGCGTTCAAAACCTGAGGATTGATGAGAGGGCCCATTCTTTGGGGCTTGCTGATGGTTGAGGTCACAGATCCTTGGGTGTAGCGGTTGGCTCGCTCATGTTTTCTACCAAAACTCAAGATCGGAAGAAAGCAAGATCGACTGGCAAACTTCGAACGTGCTGATACCGGAAGCCCCCTTTCTTCTGGATGTGTTCCCTGTTTGGAGCTTCGTTCTGACCCCTCCCCCAGGGAATCGGCACCAGCCCAAAGAAGACAACTCATGAAAAGAGTTTAGAGAAAAATAGAGAAAAGCATGGGCCAGCCTTGGTTCACTTCAGGGCATGAAATGAAGATGTGTACATTGGGTGTTGCCTGAAACCGAATGGAAAATCAACCCTTGACCCCAAGAAAGGTTTCTCTTTGCTACATGGCACTTTGAAAGGCCACCCAAAACCAGGTTCGGACCAAGCTGGTCCAACCTTTGCCCCTAGTCACTCCCTCCATCAACCATCGACTCCACTCGTTCGCGAAGTGAGTGGCTCTACCTACCCAACTCGTTCGCGAAGTGCGTTGGGCGCGGCGCAGCGCGGCCGACCCCGGCGCGTGGCGAAGGCGGCTCCGCACGACCCGGCGGCCCGAGCCCAACAGGCACGAATTTCGTCGTTCAGGGGTCTGGCCTCGGCCGGTCTGGGCGCTGGCGTGCTGTTTGAAGCACTGAAACTGGATGCGGGCTGAGTCAAGGAGGTTCAAGCAGCTTCCAAAAGGGACCTATCAAAAAACTTTCTTGATTACACTCCCTGCAAGGCTTTTCATGACACCGGTGGTTTTCACTCACTCCCCCCCATGGATGTGGTTTCCACGGTTGCGCGAGGTTTGAGCCCTTTCTGGCCGTGGTGGGGCCTCGGACATGGTTCCCCTCACCACGACCATCAGGTCGAGGCATGCGGACCACCCCTTGCAAGTCGAGGCATGCGCATGTGGACCTCATGAGCGGTGAGGTAACATGGTGTGGTCTTTTCTGGCCAAATCAAGGCCCCTTATTTCGGCTTACGGCCTGACGCTTACGGCTGACGTTTTTCCCTGTTTGCTGTGACACATGTATGCATGGCTATTCTTACGTTGTCCTTACGGCGGAGGTATGCAAGTCCACTGTGGTCACATGTGCTATGTTGTTGCAAACAGAAAAGGAAACAGAATCAAACTAAAGAAGTTTCGCTTCTGGTCGCCTTACTGCATCGTTCAAACCTGCACATCCGGCAAACCTTCCGGACACCTTACAAACATCAGCTAAAATCACTGTGTTCACTGATGTTCGCCGGTTGACTAAAGAGAAAGGGTGAATGAACAGACCGCTGCTCTCATGAAAAACGGAGTCCGGAAAGGCCATGGCGGCGAAAGGTCATGGGAGCTCCTTCAGGTGTCCTTGAACCTTGGACGTTTTGGGTTTTAGGTGGCATATAATGCTCTATATATGATATATATATATACCTAGAGCCCATTTGACCTCCGTCTTGAAAGGAAAAGACCTTAAGTTTGGGTGGTTGGTGATCCAAAATAGAGGTCATTCAGGTTCTAGGTATACATATTAGATAGATCAAGCACGCACGCGGGGTGAATCATGTCCCCCTCCCACCCTTTCCTCCAGCGCCCGTCTTCCACCACCACACCCGTCGCGTCGTCGCCGGTCGCCGGTCCTTGGGTCGCTCTGGGCTCCAGGGCCCTACGGTCGCCAGCTGGGACACCAAATCGTCCGGGCTCTGGGCATGAAGATCCAAGTCCGACTCGTAGGCACCTTGCCGAACACGGAGGGCACGCGCATGGCCACACCACACGGCCGGTTGGTGCCAGGGGCGTGGCGAAGAGAAACGTAGTCTTGGTTCTTCACATCACGCGCTGTGGAGGGCGATGAGTTCACAGCCATGCACGAATCGTGTAGGATGTGTAGGTGGATGAGCCGAATTTCATCCTCATCCTGGGAGACAAATGTGGCCCAAGCCCATCCAAGTCTACCGTCCAGTCCGGTGCCTTGGATCCTTTTCTTGGCACGACCGGGCCGAGTGGCAAATGGATGGGAGATGCATGGCGAGCGTTTGCAGCTGCTCCGTCCTGAGGGTGGTCCGCCGTCTGAATCCGAGTCCGGCGACCCCCGCCCAAGTGTTCTGAATGTTTGGGGGTCCTTTGGGCAGGACGACATGTAGAACGATGTGTGGGTGTTGTTCCAGGTGGTCTATCGGTAGCGTGTTTTTTCTATGTGTTTCTTCTCCACCTGCGCAGTTCGATGACCACAAAGTGATGACATGGAACTTGGGAACTTCGGGGGCTAGCTAGAGAGATAGAGAGAGAGTGTGTTCGGGCACCCGTCGTGCTCCGCGCTGTTCGGGTCCATTCGCTACGACGAGAGTGCTAGACCGTGGGGCTTTTGGGAGTGGAGGCCATGACTTCCATCACGGTGCCGTGAGTGGCGCGAGATCCGGGTCCAACCTAGTTCAACAGCTCGATCCTGTTCGAGAATGGGGGCTGCCCCCCCACCTGACCCCTTCGAGGTTAGGTGGTGGGGGTGGGTGAGCGCCAGGGGGTCTAACCACCGAACCTAAAAACGTGGGCTAGGAGCCGTAGGGATGTAAAGAATATGGCTTCAGGGTCCAAACCCGGACCCTTAATCCCTGGTAGGTGAACCTCTCTGGCAGTCTATTCGCTTCTGTTCGGTGGTCGCTCTAGGGTCTCCCAGTTGCAACCCTCGGCCATCTCATTCGCCCTCGTCGAAGAGGATGCCACGGGCACCACCACGCCACTGGCCGACGCAACGACACCGGCTGCAGCGCCCAGCGGCAATTGCTTCAAGGAGGGGTCGCCAATGAGCTTGATGGTCTTGCAGAGACCTGACGCGGGCGAGACACCATCGGCACCGTCCAGGACGACTTCCCCGGGACGAAGTGCATCTGACTGACGGAATGGTTCTTCTCGAGGGGGCTTCTCATGCAAGCTGGAGGGTGCTTGGATCAAAGCACTGGTTCTTGGGTGCAAGTCGTGTTTCTTCCAGGCACCGTCAGCATGCCCTTCATCCTACGTTCTTTCTCAACCATCACCCCATCACCCCCTCATCGCTTCCTATAGCTCGACCGGGACCACCTGTGAGCTCTTAAACCGAGTTGCTGGCTGTCTGCAGGTCCGCTAGGCGCGCACAGGCCTGGGCGGCCTCCTTCTCAACCAGCGAATCACCTAGGGCCGGAGCCGATGTGTTGTCCGCCCGGGCCCGGGCCGTGGGCAGATCATCCCAGAAAAATGTGACATAGTCCCCAGGAGTTAGGGAATGTACACTCCCTGGAACTAACATGGTTACGTGGATGGCATGGCCCCGAAAGGAAGACCATGTTCCACTAACAAACAGGTGGTGTTTCCACTTCCATGTTAGTTTTCGGGAATGTAACCATAATGGGAAAAAGTGTAAACATATTTGCCTGATCACGCATTGGGCCGATCCTATTACCAGTAACCGTGGATGATGATGGTTGGGCCCTTCTCCAAAATTGTCAGTCACCAGGTAGTAGGACAGACCCAACACACATATCAAAACACCATTCATCAGGAGGTAGTAATCACTTGGGCCACAAGAATCACAAACATCGCTAGCGCTTCCAAGGGGTGTCCAATGGAGACCTGTAAGTAGGGTGGAGATATGCATTGGTGACCCCGAACGGAAGCAGCTGGTCTGTTTTCATCGTCCATGAACCAGCATTCGGATATGAATTCTGTGAACTCTTTACCGAGAACCGTCGACCTGAATCTCCACCTAAACACCCTGAACAGGTCCATCACCAGCTCCGTCAAAAGCTGGTGTATGGGCGAGAGTCCGGCTGCTCAGCATGCAGCCAAATGTCTCACCCATGCCCTGCTATGACCTGCTTGCCACCCCCCGAGGCAGCTTCTGACACGCCCAGACACCGATGGAGATGAGGTGGAGCCCCGTCTGCGGGCCTTGGCTGGCCTGAAGGAACTCCAACATGGCGTTCCGCTTCGTCAGCACGTGGAGGTCCTCCTCCTGGCGGTTGTCAGGAGGAAGTCACCAAACCAACTGCTCATGGCCCCCCGCGTCCCTCTCCACTTGTGGCCAATTCTAGAGATGACAAGGCACAACAGTTCGCACCCTTGGAAGATCTGAGATGTTGAAAACAATGGTCCGCGAGACCCACCAAAACGCTCGGTCTCCGCATGAGAACTCTCATGCTTCGCAGGTGTTCCGCGCGTTTTCGCCCGCGCCTCCGGCAGCTCGCCCCAGGCCGTGGAGGTCGGGGTGCGGGTGTGTTCCGAGGCATAGTACACGGGGATTTGGAGCTCTTTCAAGAGCTCTGCCATGTCAAGGCCTAGTCACGGTGTGGTCGAAGTCGGTCGCGGTGGGCAGGTCGCAGGGAGCAGGACGCAGTCCGGTGGCACATTGAGGTAGCGGCTCTGCTGGTGGCAAGGTGACTCCTTCCGCCACCTCCTATTTCAAGATGCAACCTGCTGGTGGCAAAGTCAAGAGTGGAACCCCAACAGTCCTCAGCTGCTCCCCTCTTGCACCCTTCCTTCGGGACGGCGCTTGGCCCAAAAAGCATCCCTCACCCCCGAACGGTTTGAGGTCCCCCACCAGGCAGGTACTGATCCGCCGACTCGAAGACCCATGGCCGTTCGGACAAGCTCACGATGGCCACGCGGTCGCCGCACTGCTTGGCGAGCCGCAGCACCTGCGAGCCGAGCCGCGGCGGAAACGCGGCGGAAAGCGCCGCCGCAGGCGATCGGAGAAGCCTTGAGGGTGGCGAGATTGGGTGGTGAGGGTTGTCCAGAGGGTGTAGCCTGTCTGGGCGCGGGTGCTGTCCGGGTGCCTCCTCCTGGGTGAAACGGGCCCACCTGGGAGGCCGAAACCGTCTCAGACGGGCGCTCGTCCTCCGAGCCTTAAGGCCCTAAGGCCCTATACCCCATCTGCGAGCGCGCAAAGAACGCGCAGAACGGGGAAGAACACCTGCCTCGGCATCTGGATGAGTATATAGTTTTGTATGGGAGACCCCCCTGTTTTTTGAGGGGTTCGACCTGCGAGGTGCCCCTTCTTTGATCTATATACATACACTTACACACCCAATCTGAACCATCTCCGATGCATCTCGCAGGAACTCATCCGTTCATCCATCTGTTGGAGCCGCCATCCCCCCATCTTCCCCGTACCAAAAACAAAGGCACGAATTGGGAGGTCCACATTCTCCCCTGGACCCAAAAAAGATCCAAACTGGATCCTCCACTATCCTTCACTCTCCCTGGGCAGCCCCCTTCCACTCCACTCCCTCCCAGTGCCACCACTCCCTTCCTCCCCGCCCTGGCCGCCGCCGCCTTTGCGATGAGCTGACCGTGCTCCTGGCGTGGTCAGCTCAGTGACTTTGGACGCCGGGTCCCCGCCGCTCGGAGACGGTGCCAATGCAGAGACCCCTCGATAGCTGGAAGGACCCAACCACGCCGAGAGGCCAAAAGACCTGCACATCCTACCACCAAAAAAAGGGAGAGAGAGAGAGAGAGCAACTAATTATCCTCAAATTAGACCGTCCCTTCCTCATCTTCCTCAAGAATATCCCAACCACCCCTTCCATTCGATGCAAGTGCCGGTCATTCTTGACGCTCTGCTCGCCTTGATGGCTGCGTAGCAGGGGAAATCCGCCGGTAGCTGCGGCACCTGACGTGCCGCTCGGCCGGCACGTCGCCGGCCCGAGCTGTAGTTGGGCGCACACATGCGCGCGGCCTCAGAGATCAGGCGCACGGACGTGAGAGGACGCGGACTGGAGGACTCGGGATCAGGTTGGGACTGGCAATGTGACCGGATGCGAGGGTGAAGAAAAAGAGAAAAATCCGAGTAAAATCAGTGAATCCGAAGGAATCGGAATGAATCAGGGTGAATCAACTACACTACCTGTTGTCATGGGTTGTGTGGATGACCTTTTTGCAAAGCTGATGTTCCAGAACCGTGTTTGGAGGGAGGGAGGGAGGGAGGGAGGGAGGGTACTTTGTCGCAAGGGTTCTTGGGATGGTACTAGGATAGTGGAATTCGTCTATTAACAGCCCCCAGTGCGGAGGACCATTTACTTTGGACTGGTCTTGTGAAATCCGTCCTCTTTATCCGGGATCTTTTGCTGCCATTGGGAAAACATGATGTTCGTGCCTTGATTGGCCCAGCACTCGCGAACGCTCACACCCAATATTCGCAGATGACTTTGGAGTGCGAGGGCCCCCAATCTGCGAGTCTCCCTGCTTTGCCGAAGCAACGACGGCCCCGGACAAAGTTCACCCCGGCATGAACGAAAAGCGTGCAACGGATGGTAAAAAAGGGGCAAGGGCCAAATGAGAGCCAGAAACCCAGCGTTTCCTGACACGCCTCATGGTTTCCTGACAAACACCTCACCTGTTCTTGGGAAAGAAATCACTGAAGGGAGCATGAGCGTAGGGCCTGTGGGGGAACGCGGAGGACATGGACACTAGAAGCACTGAGTCTAGATGTCCATATATGTTAGAACCCCAACAAGAACTACGATGATCGAGAAATCAACACTGACTTACTGCCTGACCTACCGAGAACATGGACGCCAGGCCAAGAGGCATCTTCTATGAAACTGGAGGGCAAAAGAGTATCATCCCAGTCAAAGATGATGCACCGTTCCTGAAGCCGAGCAAACGACAAGCGAACATCCTCTCTCTCTCTGCAGAGTCCGCTGTCACCCAGCTGTTGTCCTCTGTTGGGTAGTGATAGTGTGGCCATGGCACATTTGATCCTCGCTTCTGGTGGCTGAACACCCTATGCTGGCTGATCCATCTTGATCATGTGATAACCCGCCTCCGGTCGGCGATCACCCGCCGAAATCACGGACGCACAGGGATGGATGTGTGGCCCCTCTGAGGCCGCAGACTGGTTCTTCTCACCCAAAACATTGGACCAACCGCTTTGGAACCGGCCCGGGGACGCCCGATCTTGGATCTTGGATCGGAGGTCACCAGCCAGGAGCTACTTAGCAGCTACTAGTAGCGTACTGCTACTAGTAGCGACGCCCTTTGTTTCTAGTGGCTTCTTGTTCCTTGTGGGATGCAGTTCAGTCAAGCGGGCTAATGGTTGAAGTCACCTTTCCCCCCTGAATTCTTCCATCCCACGGATGGACCCATAAAATCGAACTTTAGGGCACTGGCATGCAGGAGTTGGATAGTTGGATACCATCAGCCGAGCATCTAGGTCCTTGGGGACCTGCTTGCGTGTTTCCGGCTGCCCCGCTCCGCTACGCGGCGTCTCGTCATCCCCGGCCGCAGAGGATGGAAAGGAGGCCGCGACGCGTTCGCTGCTGGCCACTGAGGCTATGGTAGTGCTGCACTCACACTCACTAGTCACGCTTCTCCAGTCTTTACAGATTTGAATTGACCTCGGTTTCGGGGACGATGCGTTGACTTGATCCGGCGGTCTACATCGTTCGTGCGCACGAACACGCACATCCGAGTGCGCCATGTATATCATATCATTATATCATATAAGTAACTGGGTTCATTGGGAGTTGGTGGTGCGTCCTTCCTCTTCAGTTTCTAAGGGTTCCCTTTTTGGGGGTGGGCCCGGTCCAGGCCTTGCAGCCTCGGTCCAGAGACGGGTTCGCGCGAGACAAGATCAATCAGCGCGCCGTTGGAATGGCTTGGCTTGCGCCGGCCACGACGCAACAGGGTCAGAAAGGCATCCAGAAGCAGGAGGGCTACTCCGTTCGACTCATGTGGACTCCTTTGGATGCATGAATTCAGGCCTCCTATTTGCCCTATGAAGAGGTGGGAAACCCAATCCTGCGTCGACCTGGGGGGTTGATGAATCAAGGGATCTTACATTAAGGCTATTGGTAGCTCTTGACGTCGGATCGACTCATTGAGCTCCTTCCGTCGGATTCCACTGCAGCGCGTTGGCGGACTTCGGATCGAAAAGCGAGCGAAGTGCGATCCGTCCGTCCGAGGGGCCTCCCGAAATGGCCCTCCATTCACTTTCAGTGCCATCCCAACAATTGGAGGGCTAGAAGGAGGGCTAGAATCGGACCCTCCTTTGTCGGGGTGTCCTGGCTGGACTCCCTGGACCCTACCTATAGGCTTCCATTCTTGGGCACCCCGACAGGAGGGTCCTGGGACGAAGGACATGCACTGTCCGGACATCGACTTTAAACGTCCCAAAAGCCCCAGCTGAGCGACGTTGGCTTGTGACCGGAACGCCTCTGCAAAACCTCCCAGCACCCGACGACGACGACAACTTCCCAGGTCTCCGAAATGGTAGCTGAAATGGAGACTTCAAAAGTGTCAGGTGACCTGTGACGTCGGAGCTGCTGGTCCCCCGTCAGTTGGAGTTTCACCACCTCAAAACACTAAGAGCTGGAACAGATCCTGCCATCCTGCCAGTCTTCGGAACACTGATGATCCGAGTCTTCCAGATTCCAGGGGTCATGCCATGTCCTGGTCATGCGGACGATTTTAGGGAGTGTATCTCCCTACGGCTCCTGGCCCACATCCTCAGAAAGTGGTTAGACCCCACCATAACCATCTTCTCAGGAGGTAGTTGGAGCCCTGAGCTGCTCGGAGCTCTGCTACCCAGCGGCTCTGGCGAAGACATTACGTCAAATGCCGTGGCAGAGGACACTGCCATTCTCGACAATCGAAACACGAAGCCGCGGCCTGGGGTGGCAGTTTTGGGTGGACATGACATGAAATGAACACATGTGAACACCAAGAGGCCAAGGAGACCCCGGAAAACCATGAAATCGACGCCAAATACGGGGATGTGGGCCCTTATTGGCAGTTTAGTACCTATCCACGCAGGTGGTCAGTGTCAGAGCAGTGCACTAGCCACAATATAGTGGTCCCAAATAGATAGAAACGGTTTCCAATACAATTAATTATTAGTCGTGGGGGTTTACTTTTCTGTCCCCTAGGGCTCCCGTTTCGAAGGTGGGACTGGGGTGGGCCCGTGCGTGCCAGGAGGGTCCAGTCATACCGAACCTGAGGAGGTACGACTGCGAGCTCCACGTCGTCTCCCTCTACCGTGTGGGAAGTTCACTCGGGTTTCGGGCGGGCCTGCCTTTCGGGGAGGAACACGACACAAGTACGGCTTTAAAAAGAAACTAACCTTTAAAAGGCAAATCAACGAAAGCAAACAACATCAAGCAATCTGGTAGGGCCTCCCAACCAAAAACCTTTGGAGTTTTGAGGTGTTCCGAGGTGTTTCGAGGCTCCTTGGTCTTGCAAAGCTGAATGTCCAAAGAGTGGAGCATGAAATAAGAGGGACTCGCCAAATAGCATGGTTTGGAAATGTTTGGAAGCAAAATTGGCTTCCAGGGCACCTCTGACTGCTTTTTACCGATGTATATATGTATGTTGTACAAGCACACTGCATCACCACCAGTGGATCTCCTGGTACGAACCCTGTCGATCCTTGCCGGAAGCAGCTATCCTCGGTCGATCCTGGACTTCTGGTAGTTACTGCCAATGACTCAGAAGCCCAGAGGATCCACTTCTCCTGAGTAATGTGTGGGCCCCTCCAATAGCACCCCAACATGGAACTCGTGGAAGAGGGGAGATCCTGCCAGTAGCGATGCCCTTGTTAATATAGTAGCTCTTTGCTCCTAGTAGTACGGCCAGGAGCCCCTAGGCCCTAGCGTCCGATCGCTCCCTTCGTAGCGATGCCCTTGTTACGTTCGTAGCTTCTGAAGTACTTTTGGGGGAGATCCTGCCTTGCAGCTAGTCTCACTACTGGTCATCCACCAAGTCCCACCCCACCTCACATCCCACGACCCCCTCTCACACTCGATCGATCTCGTCCAGTGGCTTGACCTTCTCAGCTGGTCAAGTGAACGGCCGCGGCGCGGGAAAATACCGTGCAAAGGGGTAAGGTCAATCTGTCCGGGTCGGAAGGCACCACGAGATGCCCAAAAGGGTGCAAAAGGTAATGAGTTCAAGGAGCTGCACCGCGTGTGTCTTGCTGTACTTCTGAAGGGTCGCTTTCGTTTTCCGATGGGTTCTACTACATCGGTGACCTATGCGTGCCCTATTAGCGGATCTTCCATTTCGGCCTGTTCGTTGAGACACTTCAGCCAAACATGCGCCCATGCGCTGAAAAAACACCACCAGCTCCAGTGCACCGACCCTGCTTCAGCCAAAGTCTGCGCGAGAAATCGCAGGTGCTGCACGTTCGACTAAGGGTGTTGAAGGACGACGATCGAAACAGGGTGCTTGCCACGTCCACGATACTTCCAAGGAATCCAAATGCATAGACCTGGTTGTTGGATTGCACAGTTCACCAACAGCATCCAACACACTCAAAAGGTCAACCCGGTTTATCTCAACATGTCCAAGTCTTACAGCAATTGAAATGATATGAAACGCTAAGCATGTTAAAATGTATCTTTACTGTAAAGTGAGTGGAACATGTTCGGGACCCCCCCTGCCCTCCAAGTGACATGTTACAAAATCATGCCGCCGAAGTAGCGCGCGCTTCGGGGCGCGCGCGGCGCCCGAAGCGCGCCGCGTCGTTTGGGTCGCTCGGTGAGACCTCACCCGGTGGACGGCTCCCAATACCTGCGAGTCGCGGCAGCGAGCGCGGAGCGCGGGCAGCAAAGACGGCGGACCGAGGGCAACTCCCCAAAGGTGTGGAAGCCACCAGGGGCCCAAAGGAGACAAAGTAAAGGCAACTTAAAGCAAATGTCTGCACCACTGTCTCCACCATGAGAGACAGCAAAAGAGAGAGAAAGAGGGAGAGGAAGAGAGGAAGGAAGGAAGGAAGGAAGGAAGGAAGGAAGGAAGGAAGGAAGGAGAGGGCGTGAGGAAACTTGAGGAAACACCTGGCTTTTGATCCCCCAATTGTTACCACCTGGAAACCAAATTGCACGAAATCCCCACTAACCCCAGGCCACCTTGATTGTTGGGAGGCTCTGACATCAAAATAGTAATAACAAAGCAAGTTGCAATTGATCCTAGCAGCGTGCTTCGTCATAGACCTTTGCTCAAGGAGTCAGACCGCTGCCACCCCCCAAGTCAAGACCCACGTTCAAGCTCCCAGATGCTTTGGCAACGCGTGCGCGCTGGTCTTGATCGCGGCGGCTCGCTTCGCGAGCCCGCGCATGAGGCCGTTGTAGGGCGAGCAGTCCTCAGCATCCACCGACAGATGTAGCTCCGAAGATTTCTCGGTGACCCGCGAGAATGGATCCTCTCTCTTGGCCTCAAAACGTTAAAATGACACTTTTCGGAAGGAATCATCAATACCAGCACCTCCAACAGGTCACCAATTGAAACCTGTTAGGGCCCTTCCCAACCCTCCATTTCGGAGACCTGTTGGGTTCGGTGCTGGTATATATCGCGAACTGACGAGAAAACGTGCATGGGCCCCCCGAATTCGGATGTCCATGTTCCTCAAACCGGTGGTGGCTTTCACTCCAAATCACCCAGGAAGCGCGTCAAACCCTGCGAGGCCAAGAGCACCCAATGGTTCAAGCCTATGACGCATCTAATGGTGGTTGGTATCCTTGGGCTCCTGTTCGTTACAAGTTACAATCACCAGCCAAAAGATCCAAAAGCCTGGGATCAGAAGATTCCTTGCCCACATCCAAGGGACAGGAGGCTTCCACCTTGGATTTGTGGAGTGGTGGGTCTCTCTCTCTCTGCTTTGCTGCACCCCTCTACCGCCCCACCAGCGCCACCAAAAGGCGTTCTCGTGCTGCCCTTCGATGCCCCAACCTCGACTGTAGTCGAACCAGCAGCGTGCATCCTTGAGCGCTTGATGCATCCTGGAGCGCAGGACATCGTGTAGGGGGCGCCCTTCGTTGGATGCCGTTCGTTGCATGTGTTGTTCTTCGGTTCAATGAGTTGGCACAAAACCACCCAGGTTGTGTGTGTGTGTGAATCGATGCCACAGGTGATGTGATATATGATGCGATTGGCTTGCTGCTTCACCCCAGCGACCAGCCAATTGCCTTCGGGCAACAACTACCTACTCTCCAACTCACTCACATAGAAGCGGATCCTGTTACCTGTTGGCAAAAAGGAATCTATATAGATCTATATAGTCTTCCATGCCACATCCATGTGCTGTATTTGTCAAGAGTCTTTTTCCTGAAACTGACATGTACTCCTCGATGTTTCGCTCTTCACTGCCAAAACCCAAGCCCCCCCTCCCAACTACGCCCCGCGACATCGACAGCGGGCCTCTTCAAGGTGCCAAATCTCACGCTCAAGAGCTTCTGATGGAGCTCCTCCATGGTGAGATTCGTGGGCACCTCCACTTCTCAACCACCGTCGACCGGGCGCGCGCGGCGAGACGCCGGGGCAATGGTTGCAGGCCGAGGAATCCGCCTCCGGACCGAGACGGCGAGGCGGCTAGGACTGAAGGAAGCGTGAAAAACGGTGCCGAAAGCTCGCGGATGCGGAGGGATATTGGATGCAAGCGACACGTGATGCTCACCGGTAGGCAGGTGGGAAAATGACATGTTGAGGCTCAGATTTTCAGCTGCCTCTGTCCTTTTCCATGTTTGCACGTCCCCCCAAGCGCGGTCAAACGGTGCCCTGCCATGTCCAACATGCCCAAGGGCTTGGGCTATAGCAACCTTGAAGAGAAACCAATGAAAACGCCCCACAAAAACCACTGAACAAATAGGATCATGGATGCCCACTTACCACCTGAAGGGGCCCTGCGACCAGCCCACCTACCCGGCAGGGTGTTCCGTTGCTGTTGGTCGTCGCGGCGGGGGTGAAACAGGGGCTCGAACATGGAGTCGAACCGAAAAATCGCTCACCTCACCTCACCTCAGCCTCTCTGCTCCCCCAGATAACTACCGCTCAGATCCGATCCGCACATTCATCCATGTGCCCGCTCTCAGTACCCCGACAGGCAACAAGAACCCCGAAGACATGTTTCAAAAAGCCGCCTTGATCGAAACCTTGGTCCAGTCGATGACGTCCTGCCGTCGGCGTGGGGCGGACGGACGCCAAGTGCGTTTCCTGCGGGGTGCGCGGGGCGCGCGGGCCGCGTGTGGAGGAAAAAATGATGAAAACGCGAGGTGCAGGATGGTGCAACACATGCAATGATGGAGGTAGCTGAGTTCCTCCAATGGAGACCAACTATGTACAAGAAAAAAATGCTCTAGGACCTAGAGGATCAGGATCTCCTCCCTAGTGTTTTTTGCAGGTGAACCATTTTTGCTAAACAAAGGCCTCTCAGTCCCGAAAGGATGCAGCGGCATTTACATATGTTACGGTGCCCCTGTCACACAGTGGGCCCCTGGATCGTCCACAGTCACATACCCTTCTGCAAACTAACATGGCATTTGAGAATGGACCGGTGGCTTCAACAATTTTCTCCCGACCGGCCCAGAGGTGTTGGGGTTCCATGTGGTCCTCTGCATGTCGGGGTTGTACACCAATCTTGGTCCATCTCTTGCACAGATTTGTTTAAAACACTTAGTTCCTCCAGGATTTTTGCTGCAAAGGTGGCGGCTCGGCCGTGTTCTCTGGCCAATTCAAAGCCTTACTACCTAGCATACGGGCTCACATGGGCGCCCCGACCGCCCAGGCCTGGAACGGCACGGTCAGGTCGTCAGACAAGATCACCGGAACACAGCCAAAGAAGAAAGCTTCATAAAGGTGGATGGTCCAAGCCTCATTGTCTTCCACACGGTCGGGGGAAAGGAGTGAAGCCCTGTGGCACGTCGCGCGTCCACAATCCTTGCACTTTTTCATGCGGGGCATCGCACGGCAACGAACTCCTTGCACCGTCAGAGGCGCTTACAATCAGAGGTGCTCACAATGCCATCTACGCAAAAACACTCCAACGCTACTCCGCGTGTGAATACGACCACTGGCGAGCAACACACACTCGACCAGCCTCAAGTGCTGCACGCTGCCCGAAAAAGAAGCAGCTTTCATGGGGCTGACCCAGTCTGGGAAGCATAAAGTTCGCAATGCCACAAACACAGGAAGCCCAAGACGCCCTTCTCTCTGACAATCTCAATTGCAGCTAGCTCCCGCAACTCGTGCCCCTCCCTAATGAAGCTAATTACATACTTCCATGTCCAGGGATCACATTGACCTGTTCACTATGGACTCGTCATGGTTGAAGCAAACATGCACCGTTCAAACGCCGCGGCGAAGTATAGTGTGATATTCCTGCTGGGCCATCAGCGGCTCCACGCAGTGCCCTCCTTCAGACCCCCGGCGTTGCTAATAAATTGGGGGGTGCCAAGGACCCAACATCATGTGCCAAAACATGCTGCAACCGCTGCTACAACCCATTGGTGAGTGGTTTTTGGTTGACAGGGCAATTACCGTAATCTGTCCAGACATGTCCAGGACCCCACAAATGTATAGAGGATGAAACATGCCATTCTTCCAGGCGTCTGCCAGGCACTTCACAGGTCTCCCAGACCTCTTCCAGCTTCCGTCTCCGTCTCGTCTCGCCGGGACACCGTGAGCCCCGCGGGGATGAGGCAGAAGCGGCTGAGCCCCGAGCGCCTCAGGGCGGCGGCGGGGTGCAGCTCTCCGTGTGGAGCGGCGAACGGCCCGAGCCGCCCGGCACGGACGAGGCACCGAGGCGAGGACGGAGCGGGGAGTCCTCACAGTCAGCGGTCCATGAATGACCCAAAACTTGAGGGCGCTGGTGCTTGTCTTCTGGCTGTCGAAGATATGTTCTTCCCCAGGTTGGGCGATTTGGGGCACCCAGTTCGGGAAGCTTGAGTACATACAGAACTCCCACAGCTACCCCAAAACTCGAGCCAGGGTAGCCCCTATCCCAGGGGCCTAGGGAGCTAGCCTAGCGCTGCCCATAGGCCTATCATAGGCCTATGCCTAGGCTAGGCATAGGCCTATCCTAGACCTATGCCTAGGCTAGGCATAGGCCTACCCTAGGCCTATGCCTAGCGCTATCCATAGGCCTATCCTTGGCCTATGCCTAGCGCTATCCATAGGCCTATCCTAGGCCTATGCCTAGGCTAGCCATACGTCTAGGATAGGCCTATGCCTAGGCTATCCATAGGCCTATCCTAGGCCTATGCCTAGGGCTATCCATAGGCTAGCCATAGGCCTAGGATAGGCCTGTGCCTAGGCTAGCCATAGGCCTATCCTAGGCCTACCCTAGGCCTATGCCTGGGCTATCCATAAGTCTATCCTAGGCCTATGCCTAGATGGGCCTATCCTAGGCCTAGGCATAACGCTATCCATGGGCCTATCCTAGGCCTAGGCCTAGCGCTATCCATAGGCCCATCCTAGGCCTATGCCTAGGCTAGCCATAACCCTATCCTAGGCCTATGCCTAGCGCTATCCATGGGGCTATCCTCGGCCAATGCCTCGCCCAACCATAGGGTCCTAGCCTCGTAGCCTTTTTCCTCCTGGCCCTCTCCTCCCTGTCCGTTGCTTTCCTCTCTCTGCCTCCCTCCACCTGCCTCCCGCTCTCCCCTTCCTGCCAGATGCACAGTAGAGCTCGCCGACCTCTGTCTTCCTCCCGCTCCCTTTCGCCTGTCTCCCTCACCCTCCCCCTTCCTTCCTCTTCCGCCCTGTCGCTGCCTGTCCTGCGCGTTCCTACCCCATCACGCAAGGGCAGGGGCACCACGAAAAGGGACAGACAGGGGGAGGAAAGCAGCAGAGCAGCCTCGGTGAGGGGCGCGCGAAACCTATATAATCGATTGTTGCACCTGTGGCTTCGAAGATCGATCGGTTCGAACTTGCGCACCTGCAATAAACAGTGACTGCTGGATGTTGGTCCAACTATGAGATGAATTGGTCAAGCGACATGGTGGGGCTGAAGACACTCCGGCCTCCGCAGGACACATCAGTTCCTTTTGCGCTTCGACTGCAGGGGAAGGCGCACTGTGAGATGAAAGCAATTACCACACCAAGATCCACAAAGGCAAAATGTATACAAAAAGGATGTCGACCGTCACACTTTTTGGCCATTCCCCCGCACCAAAACCTTCCAACGATCCGATCTGCCCTATTCTCAGGCTGCCGTCTCAACTGTGGCTCCTGGAGGCACGCGTGCTTCTGGGGCTGGAGAGACTTCAAAAGATTCCTGTTGGTTGAAGTCCGCAGCTAGACCACATATGATATAGAGCTGTGGATCAAACACTTGGGGCTTTCTCACCACGCGGGGCTCCAGTGCCATGGCCCTGGCGCTTCCAGCGCCAGACAAACCCGTGTTCGAGTGTGCAAAGCGGTGGGAGAACTTCGCCACAGTGCGGGCCCGGTTCCGGAAAGGTGACC